TCAGAAGCTCGTGTATAAGTAGCATGGTTGTCCGAGAGAATATGCCGAGGCTGCACCCCGTAGGATAACCTAATCTGTTGGACAAGCGCGACAGCAACCTCGCTGGTAGGATATTCTTGACTTCCGAGAAGAAGACAAAAGCAGGACAGTCTATCAATCAGCGCGGTGATGTAGAACTGATGTTCGTAGAACGGACCGGTAGCGTCAATACTCACATGATCGAAGTAATGGTCCGGCAACGAAGGAGTAACAGGAAGCTCCTTGAGTTGTCGGTCATGAGGGTGAGTCTTGTTGGACTCACATAGGTCACACCGTCGGACAGTTTGAGTAACAGTCGTCATCTTATTCGGCCAGTAGTAGTTGTACAGTCGTTGACCAGTGGCAAAAATACCATCATGACTCTGTCGGTGATAAAGGTCGGTAAGATCCTCTTGAAGAGTAGCGACATCAGAGACATCGACTTTACCATCCTGAGTATGAGGAAGTAAACCAATGGACGTCGGCAAATCTGAAGACCAAGGCGGAGTGAGAGCCGATACAGTAGATGCAGTTGTGGCTTCAGCTGGGTCCGAGATAGCAGCAGGAGGAGATGCTTGGGATGATGCTGAGGAGATCGTGGATGTACGACGGGCTTTCACACGACTAGCAATAGACGAGTCGTTCTCAGTGTCCGCGGAGAAGTCGTCGCGTTTGCGGACCGGACATGCTTGCTCGTTTGTTGCGTGGAAGCTGAGGATGTCGTCCATGTATGAACAACTAGGCGGTACATAAGGTTCGTCATCGGATGGAGGGGAGGAAGTTGAGTGAAGGGCTCGCAGTTGGAGTTCATATTCGAGGCCGTCCAAGTCACAGAGTTGGTAATCAGCTGAGCCTAACCGACGAGGTAGTAACCCGGATAAGTAAACCATGGCAGTTTCGAGCATTGCTGGAGCAATACTCGAGCCGTAGATCATGCGGGAGAATTGGAAGAGACGGTTATCCCAGCGCATCTGGAAGAATCTCCTCAAAGCGTCGGATACTCGGAAATGCATGTAACAGTCAGAGACGTCATACAGTCGCACTGAAGGAGCCGCTCGTAACCTAGAGAGGCAAGTCCGAATCTTGAGTTGTTTGTTAGGTAGAGGATCCTTCGCCATCAGAGCTCGCAAGAGGCGATTCGTAGCCCCTAACGGCAGCACGGGTCGCCAGAGTTTCCGACCCTGTACCCCATAGAAATTGGTGCGATAAGGAGATTCCATGCTCAGTGCAATGGGCGTCATATATCCATCACTGATGAACTTGTTGAGTTTAGCTTCACAATCAGACCGACCTTCGAGGGGGCATGTTTTCCACAGATGGTGGGTAGCCGGACAGCGGCGTGGTTTGGTAGCCCCGATCTGTTGTTCCGCGTTCTCTGCGATGTCGACCCAGAAGTATTTGGAAGCAGTTCCATCTGTGTTAACCGTCAAACGTAACCGCGAAGTCTGTAGAAGCGTGTGTGAGATTGTATGACCTGCAGGAGGCTCGTGGAAGAGGTCGGCGTAAGTCGTAGGTGGGGTAGCACACATAGAA